AGCTTGTTTGGCTGGTGCCTAGAGCCGGCCCTGCCCATCAGAATAAGCTGACTCCAGAGCGGTGCCAGCCAGATCAGTGCTCGCAGGGCTTTCAAGCGAGGGTGGCAGTCCTTCCATGCAGCTGACTGGCGGGAGAAGTGGCAAAGCAAAGGAGCTGTTTGAGTGGGGCAGTTGCTGCTCTGAGAAGGCATGTGCTACTCAGCATCCCTGTACATTTCAATGGGAGTAAGAGGGAACAAATATAGGTAAGTCTGACAACAATCTTCTGTTCCAAGATGACTTACTGAGATTTCCTTCCAGCAATGTGTTCTCGGAAGGGAGGGCAGAAGTACAATCATTTTAAGTTTTCCCCTGGCTGCTGTGTGTGACTTCTCAAAGCCACCATCACCTCCCTGACAAACTCCTTTGCCTTTCCAGTTCACATGAAATGAAACACGGAGGCCTTTACTTTAGCTGGCCTACTGCTCCAGGGCACGCAGGATCAGCACAACAAAGCTCACCCAGGAGATCACAGAGGGTTAGTTTCTGAAAGCTCTCTGGGAGAAATAGCTTTCACTGTTGTGTGATCAAACGGCACAGGCATAGATCCAATGTGAGATGCAACTGACTGAGTGATCATATATAGCAATTCTAGTATCAGACCATGCTCTGAGAACATTGCCAGTAACTCAAGTCAGGATTGCATAAAGGGGCACACACAGAGGGTTACATTGGGCACCTCCTCCCACACAACGTACTCCACTCCTGCATGATAACCTCTACAGTCATTAATCCTAAACACAGAAGGGAAAACGGGGTGAGCAAATTCTTTCATACCTTCATCTCCTCCTCCATTTCAGAAAGTCTCCGCTCGAGGGCTCGTTTCCCCTGTTTAGAAACATTCGAAACACTGATGATCATGCGGCAGATTTGGGGAAGAACTCAATACTTTTTCTTCAAAGAAAAAAAATAGTAGCTTATATTTCTATAGTGACATTCATAGAAAAGTATCCCAAAGCACTTCAGAAAGGCAGGAATTACTTCATCTACCAATCAAGTGTAGCCATCACTGGGGTGGAGTATGGCAGTTGAACTCACATGCAGTGTAACTAGGCAGTTTTAAAGACAGGATGTAAGAAAGCTGTATGTGCTTGAAATTGCAGGGGGAGTTTGAGGAGGCAGAACTACCCCCCCTCCCCACCTTCACCAATGAACTGGAATTGAACTAGAGCCCAGTTATGAAACTGCATTATGGGTTCTAGTATCCACAATTGTTCGGGACTTCCTGCTGCAGCACTGGCTTGAGCCCTCTCAGAGGGGAAGAAAGCCATTGACTCAAACACTACTACCACTGCTTGCAGCACCTACATGTCTGCTGAAGAGCCCTCAACTAAGGGTACGTCTACACTTACATCCAGGTCCGGATGTAAGCAATCGATGTTCTGAGTTCGATTTATCGCGTCTGGTTAAGACGCGATAAATCGATCCCGGAAGTGCCCCGGATCGATCCCGGAAGTGCTCGCCGTCGACGCTGGTACTCCAGCTCGGCGAGCGGAGTACGCAGCATCGACGGGGGAGCCTTCCTGCCGTGTCTGGACCGCGGTAAGTTCGGACTAAGGTACTTCGAATTCAGCTACATTATTAACATAGCTGAATTTGCGTACCTTAGTCCGAAGTGGGGGGGTTAGTGTAGACCAGGCCTAAGTATTGACCAGGCTCAGACTTGCTTAACTGGAGAGATCTGATGAGATTAAGACAGGTACAGGCTGCAGGCCAAGGAGAAAGAATGTTTGCTACCGTGCAAACTAAGGATGCTTGAATGTGACCATCTCTGAAAGACATAACACTGGTATGTGTTTGCACACAAGTAGCTCAGGTCTTTCACTTCAGGAATTGGATTTAAACCCCATCCTCGAAACTAGCAGAAGGCTCCAAAATCTAATTAATCAAACACAGTGTAAGCAATGGGATTAAGATATCACTTTAGCCAGGAATGGCAATTTAAGTCTTTGATCTACTGCCGTGAATTGGACTGCTCAGATAGGGGAAGGGAGTGCTCAGAGGCTCATATTTCAAGGTACAAGATACTACCCACTTGACTGGAAAGGGTTGGGTTTTTTGTTGAGACGGTCCTTTGTGTTGGTGAAGACTTGGAGGATGTGGAAGGAATTGCCACACTGGGCCAATAACCCTTCAACACCACGAAAGGTAAATTGTGGTTCTGCAGCAACTTGTGATAAGGTAGAAAGTGAAGTTTAACTGTTTTACAGTGAGCAGAAAAGCTTGGGGAGCCAAAATCAGAACTCATGTATTATCACAAGCGCTATCACATGGAGCAAAAACAAAATTTGCCCATGTTTTTTATTAACATTTTCCTTCCAGAAACTAACATGCATATCAGAGCCATAAGAGTCAAAGAATGAGAGACAAACACATACCCTTTTCTCCATTTCCAGCATACTTGATCGGTCAGAGGTTTTTTCCTGTTTCTGCTATTTAAATTAAAAATAGAAAGTTATTAAAACAGAGTGGCATGCACAGGGACAGCACAAAGGGAGTGGCCAGAACCGCCATACCTAAGAAAGCTGTCTTTCCAAGGAGCCTAATGTAGTTAACATGAACAGTCATACTTTCCTCTTCAATAGCACCTTTCAGAGAATCCAAAGCACTTTACAAGCAAGCACAATTTTCTTTTACGGAAACCATACCAGCACCTCCAAATCATAGGTTCATCAGCCAACACCTCCTCCTCCCGTCTTCATCTCCCCAGTTCTGGAGACCCTTTCCTCCTTACCTGGGCTGCTTTTTCCAGTTTCGATTTGATATCAGCCAGCTCCAGCTGGGCTTCCTGCAGTTTTGATTTCAGCTTTTGGTTTTCAGACAGCGCGCCCTCATAGAGCTGAAACAGGAAGCCAGGTATGTGAATTGCTCTGTGCCTATCATATGAGCCTGCCTAACAGTCACAACTGCATGGAGACATGGTGCTCCGCAGCTCTGAACATCAGTAGCAGATTTTAGAGCCGTTTCTGCATTGCCACCACTTTCTAAGAATGGCTCAGCTCTTCTGCACTGATTTTTTCCTCCCAAATTCTAATAAACTGATTTTGTAAAAGAAATTAAGAAGGTCCTTTGTGGCTTTTGTAGTTTCTTAAAGCCACAGGCAGTGGACAAAGAAAAGGGACATTTTTAAGAATGGCTTGCCTGTCTTAATAATTTAATATAATAAAGAACTCAGAGGTTCAATCAACGTCACTGAGTTGGCTGACCATACCTAAACCTAAACCTATAATTCAGCTGAGAGTGTGTTGCTATGCTCTTACATGGTTTCACTTCAGGAGGAGAGAAAACTGTCAAGACATTCTACCAGGGAGAAAGATTACCAGCCTCACCAATTCCTGAGTCCATCAGTATTTTCCACCTCTCAGAGAGGCAAGACAAACACCTTTACGCAAACTGTGCTGGAATGTTACAGTCCTGCACGTTGACTGGCTATTAAGGAGACACTGATTTCTAATTCAGATGGAGTCCTCTCTCACCATACCACATTATTTAAAAAACGAAAATGAAGTACCTTTTAGGGTTTAACATCCCTGGGAATTAAGATCACCTTAATCTGTTCACCTTTCACACAGTTGTCACTTGCTATTACCATATTTTATTTCATTTATTTCTCACATACATATGCACCCACACGTTCCTCCCTGCTCTAAGATCAGGTTAAAGAAGGATTTCACCCCTTAGCTTTAGTTATTGAAGGATTAAGGCAAGAGTTAAATTAGGTTCTTCCAAAATAGCTATATAAGGTGGTAGCTTAACGCCCACGGACGGACGTATAGTACGTTCCCCTTAGCTCATAATACCAAACAACGTATTTTGGTTTCCCCTGCCAACTAGCATTCCAGGTTTCATCCTGGTGCTAATTCAAAGCAGATGAAGAATGTCATGAAAACCAGTGGTTATAAACACCGAGCAAACATTACCCAGCGATAATGCACGATAAGGCTTTCCAAAATGCCACTCAGACTGTGTAGCTACTTTTCAGATGCTTTCATCTTTGTCATTTGAAAAATTCCCCTGAAAAGGAACTTTGTAAACTAGCTGCATGTTGTTAACAAACCAAACTACTCTGAGCTGGAACACTTCTCCAGCCTGCTCGCCTCTTTCCTGTGTATTCAATCTTCTCTCGCTCCCTGAGTCCATGGTTCTTTATACCTTTGAAGGACTGTGATTCCAACAGACAGTGAAGTCAAGAGAAACAAGCCCTGTGATGGCTGAGCTGATAAAATAACCCTTTGCTTGCAAGGTAACTTTTAGTGATTCCTGAAAACCCTTCCTTTTTGATCTTTCACAGCTCCTCCCAGCAGACCTCAGGTTTCTGCAAGAAGGCTACAGCTCAAATAGGCAGCTCTTAGGGTACATGGGGTAGAAACATTACATATAAAAGAGCCCTACTTTTTTATAGTCCCTGTTAGTCTCCTCCTCTGTTCTACTGCTGAGGGAAGCCAGGCGGTTCTCTCTTCTGGTGTAAGCGCTGGAGCGGCTGGAGGCGCGATCGCTGTACGAGTCGCTGGTGGTAGGGCTTGTACCTGCTGATTCCAACCTAAAAACAAACAAGATCCAACACTAGTAGAGTAAAGATCAGCCTGGGAACAGCTAAGATGCGGTCAGTGTGACCACGACTGGTCAGGACTCAAGCCTTCCAAGAAACACCTCAACACCTACCAGAAGCAGCTCAGAACAGTCACTGACATAGCATCACTGTTATCATTCAAAGCTTAAATGAAGTTCACATGAGGAATTCCTGACCGATGTGGTCACCAACAGCTTGGAAACTCAGAAAACAGAGTATTGGCCCCATCCCCGCCAATCAAGGATATACAAGTCAGCGGTTTCTGCCAACCTTTCCCCCAAGGTATGGTTCTGCCTCGCTGGCGGAGAGGTTCCCAACCCATTCAAACGGCAGTGAAAGGGATAATGTCTTTCCCCTTGCTGAGTCACTGCCTATGTGATTTCGGGAGAAGAATGGTTCTAAAACTTGCATGAGGCAAGTATTATAACAAGGGAACCCTTTTTGGAATCAACCTAGTCCTGGACCCTGATCCATGCTTCATCTCCAATAAGCAGGACATGCTACTCATTTAGAGTGCTTTGAATGTAGGAGGCAAGACAAAGGGTACGTGTATACTTACCTCCGGGTCCGGCGGTAAGCAATCGATCTTCTGGGATCGATTTATCGCGTCTTGTCTAGACGCGATAAATCGATGCCAGATCGATCCCGGAAGTGCTCGCCGTCGACGCCGGTACTCCTGCTCCGCGAGAGGAGTATGCGGAGTCGACGGGGGAGCCTGCCTGCCACGTGAGAACCAGCAGTAAGTTCGAACTAAGATAGTTCGACTTCAGCTACGTGAATAACGTAGCTGAAGTTGCGTATCTTAGTTCGAAGTGGGGGGTTAGTGTGGACCAGCCCAAATATACCATTTATACCTGTTAATTAGAAAGTGTGAATGGTAAAGCTCTTACCTGGAAAGTCTTTCATGCTAAAGGAAGAGGGAGACAAAAGAAAACAGGATTAGCAAGTGAGACACCATTAACACGTCAACTCAAGAATTGCACCTACAGCACTTAGGATCTACTTTCCAACTCTGAAAGCAAGCCCCAAGAACACTGTTACAAGCTTTTTCCCATTTATTCAAACTGTATTATCTCACGTAACCAAACCACAAATCTCTGATCTTTTCCCATAACCTCTCAATTGCTATGACTTCACTGCAGCATTTCAAGTTTCAACCTATCTGAAGACACTGGGCAAAATCCAAGTTTCCAAAATCATAACATTATAGATGACTGTCAGGGAGGAAAGTGGAGTCAGATAGGAGTGTGCGTGTGTCTGTCTGTAACAAATGAGATTCCTTTACATGGAGATAGTTCTAAGTCCGTTGTTGGCTGTATGTTAAACTTCCTCCATCTAGTTCACATTAGGCTGACTTAAATTCTGTCTCTACCAAGACCAATGATAGCTTACGTTTTACATATCCTTAAATGCAAGCCTAAAATATCAATTAGTGAAGACTGCTACCGTGTGTGCACTGCACCCAAAATCTCATTCATGGAAGGGACATTCGTCATGAAAGGAATAATTCATTGGTTGTCAGATCTCCCTTAGATTCACAACAAATGTACACGTGCTCCTCTCTAAATGAACGCATGCCTTCTAACCCTGATGGAAGAAGCATCCATTGAGCGAGATAGATGAGAACAGCATGGGAAAGTATGACAAAGACAACCCTCTCTCCATCCCCCTGCGTATTTGTGTTAGACTCTGAAAATCTGCAAATTGGTATTGTTTTCAAGGCTGAACATCTCCAACCTAAAGCAAACTTCCAGCCGAAGGAATGTTCTATTCAGAAGTTACTCAAGAATGCTGAGGGGACACAGCAGTACCTGAGCATAGTGAAACTTTGGGGGACCCTGGCTGCAGAGCACCAGGCAAGATGATTTGGAATTTTTGGTGCAGAGTGTATTTCCCTGCGAGTTCAACCAACCTCCAAATCACCCCTGCAGTTCTATTCTTAGCACTGCATCTGCTGCAGCCCACTTGTGCTCTTAAACCAAAGACAATCTGAGCCAACCTATACATAAAATAAATCAGAGCATAGTTTGGCTTGGCACAACAATCTGCTACAGAGGTTAGCTGCGGTAAGCCACACTTGCTAAAAAGAGTCTTCTGGGTTGGAATGTTCTCCATTACATACAAGTGCAGAAGTCAAACAGTAGTGGCATAGATGACACAGCATATACCATCACAAGTACGGTCCCCACACGTCCTTCCATCATCTCTGTAACCCTTCTGTTTATTTTATAGACATTTATCTAAGTTTTAATTTATAGAATCCAGTGCCAACTGGACCACAATTTTCCCTGTTTTGAACCTTGTGTTAGTTTTGTCACCTCTAAAATGGGTGTAAAATGCTACTATATCACAGTATTAATGCTTTACACCCACTGCACTAGTGCAAGTGACAGCACAAAGCAGCAGAGAAGTGGACCCTGTTTTAATCCCATGGCCCCCCCCCCCACTTAATTCTCCTTTGTTGGACTTGAGTTAATCAAATACGCTGTAAAATTTAATGCCAAAAGCCTCACTTGAGTGGATAACTTGTTGCCCATTTTCAAGAGGTGAGATCTGAAGCCTTTAAGGGTGTCATGGGCTAAGACCCAGGATTTAGCTTGAAGTTGCCTCTCAAACTAGGGTTGCCAACCCTTCAGGATTGTCCTGGAGTCTCCATGAATTAAAGATGAATTTTTAATTAAAGATTAGGTCATGAGATGAAATCTCCAGGAATACGTCCAATCAAAATTGGCAACCCTATCTCAAACTGCTTGATAGTGAAAAGTCCACCTAGGCTTCAAAACTAGGCTTGCAGTCTTGTTAGCCCAGGGGTGGCCAACCTGAGCCTGAGAAGGAGCCAGAATGTACCAATGTACATTGCCAAAGAGCCACAGTAATACATCAGCAGCCCCTCATCAATCAGCTCCCCTTCCCCCCAGTGCCTCCCACCCACCGGCAGCCCCGCTGATCAGCGCCCCCCCCCCACCTCCTGATCAGCTGTTTCGTGGCGTGCAGGAGGCTCTGGGGGAGGTAGGGGGGAAGAGCGAGGGCACGGCAGGTTCAGGGGATGGGGCGGGAAGGGGTGGAATGGGGACAGGGCCTGTGGCAGAGCCAGGGGTTGAGAAGTGAGCACCCCCCAGCACATTGGAATGTTGTCGCCTGTAGCTCCAGCCCCGGAATCGGTGCCTATACAAGGAGCCGCATATGGCTCCGGAGCCACAGGTTGGCCACCCCTGCGTTAGAGTGTTCAGCATCTCTATCAATGTCTGAAGTCCAGAAGCTTCTCCATGTTCATGGAGAAATACACAGCAAATGGTTCTATATACTCTCCTTGGCTATAATATTCTTATGAGCAGGCAGGGTGAAAAAAAACCCTAAAAATCCTGCTTACAGAAACTGAGCAAGAACAGAGCAACTGGGAGAAGCACCACATCATTCTGTCAACTTTCCAGCAGCATGAGGCCTGCATCCAGTTTAACTCAAGTACAACCTTAAGGTGTATCAGAAGCTTGTGTGCACTGCCACATTTGCTTGTACTTAAATATTCTTCATAATTTAATCTCACGTTTCTATAGCAACAGAGAAGGATTCCAAAGTGCTTTGCAAACAAAAATGCTGTTCAAAGAGTACACAGGGACCACTTCATTACACAGCCACCTCTGGAGTGAAACCTGGCAAGTGTTTAGCTGTACAAAGCAACTCTACATAACAGTTCAAGGCTGGGGGAGCGAACAGTGAAACTGCATTTGATAAGTGAATAGAAATTGCTTTGTTGGTTGAGTTCACCAGCAATGGAAAAAAGCTGCCATCAATTAGCTCTGTCTTCTTTCTACAGTTATAGCTGCTGGATCCCTTGTGTTACACTCAGACAATACTTTGGGCACCCTTGTTTAGGGCCAACTGCTAACTCTTGAAGTAGCTCTGCCACAAAAGTTTGAGGGGAAGATTTTCAAAAGAGAAATTACAATTAGGCACCTAACTGCTATTTATACTTTTGAAAGTCTTCCCCTTAGCGTGTCTGCTGTTAGGGAAATGAGCAGAAAAGCAAACCACTAACTCCATGTAGGCAGTTGTGTGGCCCCATCATCATAGTTAGGGCCCTACCAATTTCATGTCCGTGAAAAACACGACACGGGCCATGAAATAAGCCCTTCCCCGTGAAATCCGATGTCCCCTTGTTTGGGACGGACAGACTTTGTCCATCCCCTGCACAGCTGCTCAGGGTGGGAGGTGGTGGTGGGCGGACGGACTAGACCCACCTCTGGGTGCCTCCCCCTGCTGCAGGATGCTCTGGGACTGGGCAGCAGCCCCAGAGGTTCCTACAGCTGGAAGAAGCTTGTGGAGTTGGATCCAATCTTCCCTGTGCTGCTGGGAGCGCTCCAGCAAAGGGGGCTCCTAGCTGCTAGTCGGGGCAGGGCTGGGGCGGGGCAGGGCTTGCTCTTTCCCTGCAGGGCTGCTCTTGGGTATCTCTCTGTCTACAGATAGCTCTGCACCCCCTCCTCCCCACTCTGTCCAGTTCTGAAGGCAGCACAGAAGTGAGGGTGACAATCCCATGACCCCCCTACACAGGTTTGCGACCCCCACAATCACAATACTGTGAAATTTCAGATTTAAACATCTGCAAACGTGAAATTTACCAATTTTCAAATCCTATGGCCATGAAATTGTCCATAATGGAGCATGAATTTGATAGGACCCTAACCATAGCATTTGGGTACCTCACCAACATTACTTTGTTCTGACGGCCAGCAAGATAAGGAAAGTTTGTTCTTCCCCATTGTACAGGTGGCGAACTAAGGCACAGAGGGTCTTCGGCAGCACTTCAGAGGCGGGGGTCCGCTCCGCGTCTTCCGCAGCATTGAAGGACCCCCCTGCCGCTGAAGACCCCGGAGCGGACCCCCCCGCCCTATGAACCTAAGGGGCGGGGCCTGATTACGGGGAATCGGCCTAAAGCCGGCCCTGGATGAGAGGACATTTTCAAACACACCTCAGTGATTCAGGAGACTGTCCCATTTTCAAAGGTGTCAGAGCACTTGGGGGCCCATATCCCTCTGATCTTCCGAGAAACTTTGGCTCCTAAACTGCTTGAGCTGTCTTTGGCAGAGCTGGGAATTGAACACAGCTCTGACCTTCTGTTCACTGCCTTAACCACAAGGCTACGCTTCGGCATGTGCCTTATTTTTCTAAGAGCCTTTGGTTGGGGCAGCTGTAATTAAGAGGCCTTGCAGGGAGTTAAGTTAAGGAGGAAAACCTCCACATTTTACTGGCATCTCAAACTGTGATGTTTACCTTGAGTAGCTTTCCGGCTTCTGTCCTTACTGCCTGACACAACAAAGCCTTCTTGCTCTTTTGTAAGAGGCTCTAGTAAAACTTGCTTCTTAAAACAAAGTATCTCACTTCAGCACAAAAGTCAGACAGCTACCCAATGTCTTCTGGCTCCATCTTCTCCATTCCGCAGGGCAGAGGAATTAGGGGGTGATTAACAACACTCTTGTTGAAAAGGATTCAAGTGTTTTACAGACCAATATGCTAATCCCTTTCAGTGACAGCTTTTCTTACAGTGGCAACCGGTCACGGAAATAATCCACTTAATTTGAAGCTTTGCAGCTATTACATCAGGACTGTTTATGTTCTGTAACAGCATTGAGAAAGTCCTCAAATAACAGGTCTCTTTTCCTGGAGGGCAGTGTGGGGGGAAAAGGGGAAACCGTTTTGAATTGGGGAGGGAGGGGGAAATCGCATGGTCACCTTATGAAAAGCAAAATGTGGTCACTTTGTTCACAAACCAGGGAAGTCTCTCTCAGGCAGCAGGGAGAGAGACTGAATGAGATTGGGGGGTGGAGAGAGACTAAAAGCTACTGACAGAAAGAGAGAGAAAAGAGACAAGAGCATTGTGTCATCCCAGCTCTACTCCCTTCCATGAGAGCA